CCCGGCGGCCGCGCCCCTCCGCCCCCCCCACCCCGTAGTGCTGCCCCTTGTGGTCGGCGCTTCTGGGCCCTGCCCTTCTCAAACCCGTCAGGTGTGTGAGATTTATATAGTAACTTTTTGTGCCTGTGTTACTGGGGGATTCATCAGGGGCGCTTTATCCCTAGTTCATTTATATATATATATATATATACACATATACACACACATATAAGTTCATAATATATATGTATTTTTGAGGCAGGATCTTGCTAAGCTGCTAAGGCTGGCCTTGAACTTGCAATCCTCCTGTCTCAACCTCCTAAATAGCTGGAATTATAGGCGTGTACCACCACACCTAGCATATATGTGTTTAATGGAAAATTTTAAGATATAATTGATGTCCTTGATTTTTAAAAAAATCTGAGCTAGGCACTGTGATGCACACTTGTAATTCCAGCAACTGGGTAGGTTGAGGCAGGAGGATGACAAGTTCAAGGCCAGCCTCAGCACTTAACAAGATACTGTCTCAAAAACAACAGTTGATGGGGGATGCCCTGGGGATGAAGCTTAGAATGAACCCCTGGGTTCAATAACAAGCACATGCACACACACACACACACATTAAAGAAAAAAAATCACTGGATGGTATTAACAGTTGATGGAACAACAAAGAAGGAAGGGTTAGTAAATTTAAAAAGAATGAAATGTGATTTAAAATCACAATGAAATCAAGTGGGTGGCACATATCTGTAATTCCAGCCACTCAGGCTCAGGCAGATGGATCCAAAGTTTGAGGCTAGCCTGGGCAATTCAGTAAGAGTCTCAAAATGAAAAAGTAAAAAGTCTTAAAGTTGTTAGATGTAGCACAGTGGTAAAGTATCTCTGAATTTAATTCCCAGTATTGCCAAACACACACACACACACACACACACACACACACACACACACACAATGGATACTGCTTTATACCTTCAAGAATAGCTAAAATTAAGAGAATGACAATATCAAATTTTACGAGGAATGTAGAAGGTTTGCAACTCTCAGACACTGCTAGTGGGAGTGTAAAGTGAGATAACCACTTTGCAGAAACTTTAAAGATGTCACTCTGCCCTTATCTGAACGTTCATGTCCTCCAAACTTAATGTGTTGAAACCCTAACTCCCAAGGTAATGGTATCAGGATATGAGGCCAGTGGAGGTGATCCCATCCTAGGGCAGAGCCCCCATAAATAGGATTACAGCCCTTAGAAAAGGAGCCTAAGACCCCTAGCCTTTCCCAGCCCTTACGCATCCTGTGTCTACAGGTGTCTAGATATTGGACTGAGAAGGAACTGAGAAGTTTCCCATTGTCTATAAGCCACACACCTTAGAGCACTTTGTTATAGTCCCTAGCCCCCCACCCAAGGAACCAAGACCACCTCCCTGTGGCTCAACAATGCAGCCCTAGGAACTTACTCAGGAGTGAAAATGGAAATTAACAGAGGGTCATTTGAAAATGTCCATAGCAAAGTTATTCTAATAGCCTCAAAACTGGGAACACCCCAAATGTCATCCATGAGTACACAGATTCGGAGTTGTCTTGTTAGTGTAGGACCACAAGGTAGTGCAGGCATAGGCAGAGCTTATGGTGGTGAGCCTCAGGACAGCAGTTGTCCCCAGTGGGGTGCTGACTGGAGCCTTGGGCCACTTGTTAGGGTTTATGGCACCATGGCACACGTTTGTCAGACTCATAAAACCACATACTGAAAGGTGGTTTTTGGTTTATGCCAACATTTTTTACAGAATGACGTTAGATGAAGCCTTACCATTTGGTACTATGCCCTTTTGTGTTCTGTTGTGGTACTAGGGCTCCATCCCAGGGGTGCTCCACCACTGAGCTACACCTCCAGCCTTACTCTTTGGACACAACCTTGCTGAGCTGCTGAAGGGGCTGTAGCTGGAGATCTCCCAGTTTCAGCCTGGGCGTGGCTAGGACCACAGGTGTGCATCGACATGCCCACTCTAACACCCTCTTTGTTTTCCCGTGGTATAAAGTGGCCAGCTTTCCAAGAAAACCTCCTAGTGCCGGCAGCAGCAGGACAGCTCTCAGCCAGCACTGGCTTAGGGCGTGTGCTGCGTGGCTGGGCAGTGGTGCTGGGGGTAGGTGTGTTGAGTGCATTTCCAACTTACCTTCAACTTACAGTAGTTCATCGGGTAGCAGGTAACCCCACCCTAAGTTAGGGAGCATGGTACCGTAAGCGTGGCTGTCCCCAACATTTACCATTCAGCCTTTGTGACAGCACCAGGCCTGGCCAACCAGGCCTGGCCGGATCACCTGCTTTCTGGGTGAATTTAGGTGACAAACGATTCCTGTGGTGAAGCAGGAATGAGTACCTGTCTTGGAAGTGAGGCAGCGTGTGCCATGCCCTGGCCACAGAGCCTCTGTCCTGGGAAGCTATCACTGCTGGAGCCCGGCTGCCAGCTTGTATCTACACAAAGGCCTCTCAGTGGGGCAGATGTCTCCCAGTCACCGAGGGTTCCTGGAGTGCGAGAGAACCATGGAGAGAATAAGCCACGGTGAAGAGATGTCCTCTACAAGGAGCGGTGCCCAGCTCCTGGGCTGCTCCATGCAACAGGAGAGCCAGGGTCTTGTGCTCACGCTTCACAACAGCTGTGCCTGAGAGCCGACAGTGGTCCTCCTCCCCAGAGCTGTGAAGCCTCCCTCATCAGTTTTCTTACACTTGACCTGCCATCGGCAAGACCAGTGTCTCATTTCAGTCACTTGAGTTTGGGGTTTCTGACTGTACTGTCATGATGGGGTCCTGATGGCACTGTCTTCTCACTCCCACCCAGTGCCACCTACGTGCAGTTAACAGAACGAGTCAGACGGTGGAGGTCGGGATCCCTGGGTAAGCAGCTCTGCTGCTGGCCTCCATCTACCATGAGGCAGAAGTGAGAGGATTTGTCCACCAGGTGGCGCTGGATTCCTACGGCTGAGCAGATGAAGCCTGGAAGAATGGCAGCCTTGGAGGAGCGATTTGAGGTATTTCTCTTTCTTGGTGATAGTTTTCTGAACTCCTGCTTCACTTTGTCCCTGATGGGACGGGGCAGAGGCCCTGTGTGTCCTAGTGGCGCGTGAAGACCTTGGTGAGGGGCTGTGCTGGGAGGCAGGAGCTGCCTCCTTGGCTCAGACATGGCTGAGGACTTGGGGAGGCCCCGAGAAGTGCCCTGGAAAGGCCCATGGGGGCTGTGCATGCCACACAGATGGACCTGAAGGCTGGCCCAGAGCCAGCTGTGGTGACACTATGGGGAAGAATGCTCCCAAGGCAACTTCCCTTCATGATGTGACCTCAGAGCAGACTCAGGGAGGCTGGTACCATCAGAGGAAATGGCCCAGGTGGGCATAGTGCAGACGTGGTCTGAGCCACACCAAGAACTTCCAGTGACCCTTCACAGCCCCAGGGTTTATGCTTTATAAGCCAAAGATATATATTCCAATTTAACCCTCACGATAAACTGAGGCAGGTGAGGCAAAGCAGTATTAATCCACGGGAGGTGGGGGGGCTGCTTTGGAATAAGCCCTGGATCCGGGAACATCCAGTGACACCTTCCTCTCTCACTTTCAGCATTTTTTGCATTAGCTGGATTTCTTACATCTTGTGGTAAGACTGGCAGGCACACAGAGCCAAGGAAATGACACACTGAAGCAGGGCCCAAAATGCTAAGGTGGGTCCTGCAGGCGCTAGAGCACCTGTCCCACACATGGAGGCCAAAGGAAGCGCTATGCGGGTTGGATGAAGGTGAGGCATCCAAGTACTGGGGAAAAGCACCTTGGTCTGTCCAGTCTGCATGCTGGGTGGTGCACACCTGTCATCCCTGTTGCTCGGGAGGCTGCAGCAGGAGGCCAGCAGGGCAACTGAACAAGACCCTCTCTCAAAGAAAGAAGGACTGGGGAAGTAGCCCAGTGGTAGAGCTCCATCCCAGGACCCCCTGCAAGTCTCTGGAAACCTCTGTTTGTGTGTTCAAAGGATTAACTGGGTGGCAGCTGTACGAAGGTAGGGTGTGGCCATCCCTGACAGCCCCCCCACAAAGTCCACCAAAGTAAGTCCCACCAAAGCCCACTCCCACATCCTCACTGTAAGAGGCTGGAGCACAGAGCAGCTATTTAACAAAGATTAATATGCCAACTAGTTCTGTGCCTGCAAACACTTACCAACTTTTTATACAGCTGGAAATAGTTCTGAATACATAAAACCCCTCATGGTCACTGCATACAGAAACAGAACAACCTCAATGCCTAAAGAAGTTAAGGCAGAAAAGGTGGCCAGGGCATTGTTAGACTGCAGCACTGCAGTCAGCAGACCTCAAATAAAGGGTGGGACAATCATGGTGGCATAGTCCTAGCTACTTGGGAGGCAGAGGTAGGAGGATGGCGAGTTCCAGGCCAGCCTGGCCAATTTAGTGGGAACCTGTCTTAAAAAAAAAAAAAGCCTGGGGATGTGCCCCAGTGGTAGAGCACCCCTGGGTTCAATCCTAGTACAGAAAGGAAAGGAACGAAAAAGACGAGAAAGACTGGGAAGCAAGGTATATCACACATGCGGCTGGGAAGGCTGAGGCAGGAGGATGGAAAGTTCAAAGCCAGCCTTAGCAATGGGAGGCACTTGGCAAATACAAAATAGGGCTGTGGGTGTGCTCAGTGGTCGAGTGCCCCTCGGTTCAATCCCCAGTACAAAAAAAAAAGACACTGGAGAGCCACAGTGCTGAGATGGGAGCGTCATGACCTGTGTTCTCAGGGACCACCTGGTAGAGCTGCAGCTGGCGTGCAGGACTCTGGCCAGCAAATTGTCATGCTCAAGGTGGACAGAGACCAGCTGTAGTCTGTGGGGAGCGGTGAGCCTCAAGGCGTCTTGCACCTCAGCCAGGAGTGTGCCGAGAGGTGCCCAGGGCCCTGGCGCTCCAGAGACTGGCCCAGGCATGGGCAGGGCGAAAGGCAGTGCAGCCTCCCATGTTGACTGTAGTTGTCCTGTCCCATGGGCTGGCTCACTGTCCTGTGTCCTTTGCCGTCCTTTCTGAGCAAAAGTTAGTAGTTAATTCTATCATAGACGTCTTGTCTGTGTACAGTCTTCAGCTCCCTCTGCTGGATGCTGGAGCCCCTTCTCAGGACTTGGGTCCTTCCCGCTTCCTTCATGTGGCACAGTGTACTGTCTTTTCTCTCTGCTTGTCTTATTTTTAGAATGATTCAGAAAAACAACAGCTCTTTTCCTGATTTTGGCATGAACCCCCTTATTCGAAATGGAGACAGCATCTCAAACAGCTCAGAGGAAGAGGCGTCAGGAGCTCCCTGCGCTGACTGGGGAAGGCAGCGGTGAAGTCCTGCCCATGCTGCGCTGTCCTGCTGATGTGGTAGGCTACAATACTTTGGTTAAAATCATGTTTGTGACTGTAACTATTTGTATGACTTATTTTAAAGAAATACATCTCAGAAAGGAAAAAAAAAAAAATCCTGGCCAGGAAGCCTCAGGCAGATGCTCCAGCTGTGGCCTCACGTGCCCCCTTCTCTCCTGGCCCATGTGATGGCTGGTCAAGTGCAGATCCACAGCAACAACAGGGAGCCAGACTCCACGTCCTGCCATAAACTTGGCAGAACAGCATTTCCTTAACACACAACAGGGTATGACAACAGAGATGACAGTCACTCCCAAATGACAAAATGTAAATATCACAATGATGCCCTCAATAAAATATGAAAACCTTTACCAAAAATAGTTTATTGCACAAAATTTAAGGAATTCCCAAGCACGCTTATATTATAAAAAAAAAATCAACATGCTTTTTAAAGTTACAATCTGTTGCACACAGTGACACCTTTCACACAAACAGCCCCCAGCTAGTGACTCCTTTTGTGAGAAGATTTTTTTATAGAAATGACTAACTCTGAATGAGAAATGAGGGAACAGCAGAAGGCAGTGAACAACGAACTTCCTAGATCCTCTAAAACACGGACCCTCAAGAATCCGATCAGAACCTGAGACCACCACAGAATGAGATCTTGTTAGCATGGGGCCCAAGATCCCACACCACAGGCATCCACGTTGCTGGGTCCTTGGTAGGAAGGCTCCAGGACTCTTCCCTTTCAGATACGCTGGTCCCTTTCATTCCCAGAACCTTGACACTTGATTTTTGTTTTAAAAAAAAAATGTAAATAGGAATCTGTGCCATGGTAATGTTATAGGCTGTGGCTTTTGCAGAGAATAAGCCTTCCACCGAGGGCAAGCCACAAGCTTCCCGATCCCAGCACAGAGGCTGCCCATAGGCTGCCCCTCTCCCTGACCCAGGCCTGGGTAGTCAGCTGCCATTCTATCAAAACATCTTCTAAAGAGGAACGAAGCCATATAAATCTGCAAGATGTGTGGGGGCATCAATCTGATGGGTACCATAGAAAAAGATCAACAGAGACCTACTGCAATCCAGGCAATGGCATCCTGAACTACGTACCATGGCTCCGTGCAACAGGACAGGGCGAACACCATGCAGACAACAGCCACCCTGGCAGAATCACACTCCAGACCCAGACTCATCACTTGCACTTTACCCAGAGGAACATTCGTTCCAACTGGGATCCCCTGGAGACAGAAAAGTGCCTTCAACCTTCCAAAACAGCAGCGAGAAAACCTCAAAGAACGTAAGGGCAGTGGCAGCTCCAGCATGAGCCTCAAGCCACAGCTGCACTAGCCACTGAGGACACAGGCTGAGCCAAGACAGGCCAGGTCCTTGGTGGAACCCAGAAGTGCTGACCAAGGCCCCACACGGGGCAGTGATAGCTAGGGTAGGTGAGGCCCAGGACTGCCAAGCAAGGGAGGGAGACAGACATGGGGCCCAGTGGTGGCCACAAGCACATCCTCTCTTAGGAGGAAGAAACGGGAGCTTGTGCAGAGACTCTGCTGAGACAGAGGGAGAAAGCAGCCGTGCCACCCAGTGAGTCCAGGGATGTGTCTTGCCTCAGACTAGACAAAAGGTAACAGCCAAAATAAATAAGAACATAAACTTCCATTTTTCTTTTCTAATGGTGCAAGAACAATTTAGTCAGAAACAATTTCCAACTTAAGAAATAAAATATACTTAAAATGAAATTTTCAAGTATCATTTCAAGATTAACCCTGTACAGATGATATATACATTTTACAAGTTCTAATATTTGCTAGGGAATACTTTTTTAAAAGCCACACATCTTCATGGTGATGCCACTTTAGCCGTATCAATCAACCTTTTAACAACATACCACAAACTGCTTGGAAACTCCATGTTGTTCTCTCTAGGACACCAGTACTCTGCTGACACAGCAAGCCTAGGTGGGTCCCTACCATAGAACTTCACCTGTAGACTGGCAGATCTGAACGAGGGTCACCTGGACCTCCCCTCTTTTTCTCCTTCCTACCTTGAAACAATAAATACTATTTTTAGATTTTCCTAGCAACTGAGGGAGAAACAAAGACCTGGACTCTCCCAGTCAGCTGGTATATACAGCACTGCCTCTAGGTGGAAAACGTGCCACAGTGAAGAGGCACTTGTCTCTGAATCTCCTATTCCTCAAGAGACCATAGCTGCCTTCCCCTGGTACCACATCTCTTCCAGACATGGCCTCTGACCAGGTGACACTGGCCACACCAGGGCCTCCTGATGACCATGGTGTTGGGGGCACAGCAAGAAGCCTGTGACCCACACACGTTAGGCCCTCTTCCCCTGGGGATTGTTAGGACCACTGGGATTGACTGAGGGTCCCACCTGCTCCAGCCCAGTGGTCAGCCAAAGTGGGTGGGCCCACACAGGGCCAGCACCTGACAGGCCTATGTCACAAACTTAGGAAGACCACTGGGCAGGAAGCAAAAACCCTCAGGAAAAAGTAAAATTAGAAAACAAGGAGCCTCCTCTGGGCAAGAATGTTTGGTTTTAGAAGGTAGAGTAAATAAAATAACTATACTTCTTAAAATATAATTTTCTGATATCCCTACATCCTACGTGTACATTATTTTCCAACAGTAATTTTTCAAAAGGCAATCAATAAAAAGACAATTAGATTCTTCTTAAATAATATAGTCATATGCTTTTAAAAGGTTATGATTTTCAGTATTTCTATGTACATCCTATTATGGGATGGCTATTGAAAAAAATGAAATAAAAATCCAAAGGTGCAAATAAAAATTCATTCTGCAGAAAAGGAGAGCTCTTATTGAGTGGACAGGACAGTGAGAACCGCACCCAGCCTGCCTGGATGTGCTGCCAGAGGATCCTACTGAGCAGTCTCTGCAGGGGCTGGCTGCTGGCATGGCCCTCCACGAGCAGCATCCCTGTCAATCAAAGATGCCCCCTTCTGCAAATAACCTGTCAGACAGATACAAGTCCTCACTGAGCCCGAAGCCAGGCCTGAGGTCTGGCTACTTTGTGGGAAGCCATTTGTGATTTCAAACGACTACTCCTCTCATCCTCAACACTCCCTCTGTTGTTTCATTCTTCATCAAAGGCAAAAGAAAAACTCAAATTTCACTCTCAGAAAATGCAGAGCACACCATCAAAGGAGTAGCACTGATGCAAGAGCGTTCCTTGGAGCAGCTGTGTACACATGGTGTGAGCACTGTGCGGTCACTGGTCCAGTCCTCCTTGGGGAGCCCGGCTTCCACCTTGTTGTCTTGGGTTTGCCCTGGGATTCACCTGCTCTCCTGCGGGGCCTTCCACCTGCGTCCAGGAGGACAGGGACTCGTGCACAGTGAAGGTGTGCTCCTCCATCTGGCGTTGCAGACTGTCCATCTCCTGCCTGGGGAGACGGGAGGAAGCATGAGAAACCCAGGTCACAGGAGGGCCAAGCAGAAGCCAACACTCACAACCCCTACCAAGCTCAGGTGTGGTAGCAGGATCCCCCATGTCTGCATGACAGTGGATCTCTATCACAGTCCCACAAAATCAGCTGCTGTCATAGGTCAGGGCTCTCAGCATTGTTCTCTGTTCTGTGCGGAGACCAGCATACTATCTAGCTTAGGTGTCTGCTTCAGGGAGAGCCCTACCTCCACTGGGACTGTGTGAAACAAAGACCTAAGTGCCCGAGGCCAGCCAAGTTGCTGTGTGGAAGCTGCCCCAAGGCCAGTGCAGTGTGACTTGCACCCCCAGTATCACCTATGAGGTCTCCCAGGTGGCTGTGCTCTGCGACGCTGGCCTCTGCTGTTCTGAGTCAGGAGGCTCAACCCACAGTGCACAGGTACAATACGTGTGGTCTCTCATTCCAAAGGCTGGTCAGGGCAGTCTGCTCTGAGCAGCGTTGGCCTGGTGTGGCGTGAGGGCCTGCCTGTGAGCAAGCTTGCCCCCCACTGTGGGCACACCCTGTGGCACAAGAAGCTCCTCCAGCCAGACAAGCCATTTGTTTTAAAAGCACAGAATGTGGACCGTACTTGAGCTGCTGCAGACAGCTGTTGAGGTTCTTGAGGGGCTCCTTGCTCACGGCAGGTGGAGGCCGCAGCAGCTCCTCCAGCAGCGAGGCTGGGACGGGGCAGTCTGGGATCCTGATGGGTGTTGCAGGGCCTGGGGAGCTGGCCTCACCTTTTGGCTCCTTCCTCTGTTCATTAAAAACATGTCATTAGTTTCCCCGTGTCCACCCCCCATCAGTTACTGCTGTCACAACAGGAGCCAGAAGACCCCCACATGGCAGAAGACCCCAGAAAGGAGACTGTCCTAGCCTTCGCATCAGCACAGCCCGACTATCACAGGAGGAGTTGAAGAAGTTGGCTGGTAAACAGCTCAATTCCGAATGCACACACTAAACACAAACAACCTGAGCCCAGACCCTTGGGGGGACCCACCGGACCCTAGAGCCTCATTCAAGAGCATCCCCTAAACCCACAGCCTTGACACTGGGCTTCCCTAGGAAATCAGGTACATTTCCCAGCTGCTCAGACTCTCTAAACCCAAAACTTTTCCACAGATAGCAAATGATGCCTGAGAGAATTCTCTGCACCTGCCCCTGTGACAACTCCCGAAGATGGAGTGCAGAAGGAATTTGAATTTTGGAAAAGCCAACATTCTACTGGAAAAGGCACCAAACTAGGACTCTGCCCTAGCAGCTGCCCCATATCATCTCATGTAGCGGCCATGTGTGCGTGCCTAGAAAGTCTGCCAGCCTCTCGCTCAGGAAAACCTCGGGCATAGTCAGTCAGCCTGAAAGGTGGTGGGCCTGGATACCACCTTGGCCACACGGTGCCGGAGGTCCAGCTGCAGCTGCTGGTTCTGCTGAAGCAGGGTCTTCATGTTGCTCTTCAGTTCCGACACTTTGGCTTGAAGCATAAATTTATCCTTCTGGGTCATGGACAGGTCTTCCTGCACCGTCTCCAACTCAGACTTGATATTCTAGAAAAGTAGATTTGGATTCAGAAAAGGGAATGATTAAACACTGCTAAGATCTGTTTCTATTGAGTTCCGAAGGACTCTTCTTTTTTCTTTTTTGGTACTAGTGATTGAACCTGGAGGTACACTTACCTCTGAGTCAGGAAGTGTACCTCCGGGTTCAAGTCAGGCCTTGTTCTGAGACAGGGCCTTGCTAAACTTGAAATCCTCCTGCCTCAGCCTCCCAGGTTGCCGGGATTGTAAGCATGCACCAATGGGCTGGTGAGGGCCTGACTTTTACACAGTGAATCACAGGATGTTTCCAGCCCAGCAGTTCCCTCTCGAGTTCTCCAGGCTGTGAAGGATCTAGTGATGATCACACCCTGCACACTCTTAACTCAAACTCCAGAGCCCGCAGTCCACCTGCATGAGAGCCACCTGCAGCAACTGCCCCCTAGAGTCTGGGGATGGTCACCTGTAATGACTGCTGTGTTCCTTCCAGTTCCTTCCTGCCCTGTTGCTCTGTCAAGTCCAGCTGCTGCTTCAAGGACTGGATTTCTCGCTCTTTCTGATCCAACTCCCATTTGAGATTTTCCATCTAAAGTGAAAAAAAGTCACGTGATCAAGAAAACGTTAAATAGGTATTCTTCTGTTTTTGGTGGTGCTGGGGATTGAACCCAGGGACATTCTACCACTGAGTTACATTCCCAGCCTTTATTTTATTTTATTTTTAAACAGGGACTCGCTTAGTTGCCTAGGCTGGCTTTAAACTCACAATCCTCTGGCCTTGGCCTCCCAAATCATAGGGATTACAGGTGTACACCACTGCACCTGGTTTCTGCACATCTTTTAATATCATATTTAGGAAAAAAAAAATATTCTTCAAGCAGATAGGGCCCAGCTCTCACCTCTTGGCTCCCTGTGGGCTCCTGGCTGAGCTGCATGTCCAGCTGCTTCTGTAGGAGCTGAAGCTGAGTCCGGGCCTCTGCCAGCTCTGCCTGGAACTGTGCTATCTCCTGGGAATGTTTCCCCTCCCGAATCCTGGCATTAAAAAAAGGTAAGAATGAAATGTCAGCATCCTCCCAACTTGCCACCCCATTCTAAAATGAAGCCTGTGGATTATGGCCATCCTGGTGAGACCCAGACTGCTCCCCAGAGACAATTGATGACTGGGTGCCGTGGCCAACCCTGCAAAGTCCTCCAAGAGACATGCTTTGTTCATACAATTTATATTATGGTGCTGAGTGACCATGCCAAGATCCAGTAAGAGGGACCTCTAGAGCTGCTCGTGTGTGTGTGTGCGCGCGCACGCAGCTCTGGGCATGGCACAGCCATACCCTCTACGTGTCTGACTGTGCTGCACTAGTGAGATCAGTGATCCTCTCAGTGTCCAGGGCACAGTCCCAGGGTGAGTCTTTGCCCTGGGCAGCTTCTGTCTTGGGAAGGTCAAGCAAGGCAGGAAGGAGTGAGGCAACCAGAGTAAAGCCTGGGCTTTCTCAGAGGGGGTCAGGACACTGGGACTGGCCCCTCAGTATTCGGCAGTTTGGTAGCAGGCAGGAGTCTCCCCATGTGGGTGTGAACTAGAGACCTGGAAGGGGCTCACATAGCTCTGCCTGCTCAGGATGCACTGCGCGCGCATGGTCCCCAACTGGCAGTGCTGGCCCTCCCCAGGCCTTGGCACTCACTGGAGCTCATCGGCCTCAGCCTGCAGCGTCTGCACAAGGTGCTCCTTGGCTTGCAGCTCCTTCTTCACTTCGCTCAGCTCCAAAGCGGCTGCCTTGAAGTGGCGGCGGTTGTGTCCAGCTTCTGCCCTGGCAGCAGCCACCTGGAAGGAGGCAGGAAGCTGATGTTAAAATGATGAAGTAAACACACAGAGACAGAGAAATACCTTTTTCTGGACAGGACACCCAAGGCTCAATGGTGCCCAAGCACCAGCACTGAAGCCCCACCAATCCCCTGCCCCAATGCTCAGCACAGGGGAGTGCATCAGAAGTGGTTGCTAGTGCCTATCAAATTTACAGGTCTATTCATGGTTCCCTTAGTCTAAACAGTTTCCAAATTCTTCCAGCATATCTACATGTTTCCAGTTGAGTTTATCCACAGCTTGTGAATTCTGAGAACAATCTACTTTTGCATTATACCCTCTAACAATAATGTGGCTGTTAATTCTATTTATGATGTAACTAGTCTCCTTTCTGAAATCTCACTGCTGTTAAAATAAATTCTCTCAATATTTCCAAAAAGATAAGTAAATTTTTAAGTATCACAAACATATTTTTTCCCAATACTTTAATTTTCTTGTCTAATTGTCCTACCAAGTACTTTATTTTAAAATAAAATTTAACAAAAGCATTTGTAATAGCTGGGCATAGTGGCACATGCCTGTAATCCCAGTGACTTGGGAAGCTGAGGCAGAAGGATCCCAAGTTCAAGGTCAGATCAGCAACTTAGCAAGATCGTGTCTCAAAATAAAAAATAAAAGGGCTAGGGATGTGGCTCAGTGGTAAAGTGTCCCTGGGTTCAATCCCTGGTACGAAAGAAAAAGAAATTGAAGTCTGCATATATCATTTCCCCAGTATTTTTACTATGAATTTCTTTCTATTTATTGACTGATTGATTGATCGATCAATTGTGGCACTGGGGATTGAACCCAGGGGGCTATATTTGGGGAGCCACTCCAAATGCACTCACCTTTAAGTCCTGATGCACCATGGGGATCTGAAAGATCACTGTAGTCTGGCGCAGTAGTGCCATGGACCTGACTCAGTCTTTTCCCTCACTGGGATAATAAGATGTGGCCCTGGGAGTGGCCCTAGGTGTAGGCGGCACCCAGAAGGGTTGAGCTACACTCACGGGTTCCCTTGTAATCCTACCTCATTTGAATGGCTTCTTCCCAATAAAAGGGTTCAGCAAATGCTCCTCTTTCTCTTTGCATGGATCCCTAAGGTCAGAGGAGCCATCACAGGACCCAAAGAAAAAGGTATTTCTTTGTCTCTGTGTGGTTATTTCATGCAGCTTAGTTTACCTGGAATGATCCCAAGTGTTTAGTCGTGGAACACGACAGCTCTACCAATGAGCTAAGCTCTCCATCCCTTTTCACTTTTTATTTTGAGACAGGGTCTCACTAAGTTACCCAGGCTGGCCTGGAACTTGAAATCTTCCTGCCTTAGTCTCCTGAATAGATGGGATAACAGACACATACTACCAAACACGGCTGCAATTCAAAGTTCAAAGGAAAAATAATGTGTCCCTTCCCACATTTTTCCAGAGATAAAGACAGTTCTTCCCAAGTACTCCCTCTGGTATGTAAGCATTGAGATGCGCTTGTGTTAGGTTGGGGGTGTAGCTCAGAAACACAGTGTTTGCCTAGCATGTGCTAGACCTGGGGTTCCATCCTCAGCACCGCAAAAAAAAAAAAAAAAGAGAGAGTGGTGGGGGAGAAGATGTGCACTGGGGCACTGCCAGGAAGTGCACATTCTAACAGCAGAGAAAGGTGAGCACCAATAGGCTTATGGTGGAGCAAATAGTGGTCAGAACATGCCACTGCTGAGACGGCATTCACCTGACACATCAGCAAACACACAGAGCAGGAGAAGGAGCCAGCCACAAGAAGCTGTCTCTCTGCATAAAAAGGTCAGATGCAAACATGTTTCCGTCTGCTCCTTAACACCAACAAGAAGTATGCTTTTGAAACTTGTCTACAAAAGAACAACTTTTTCTAGTAAAGATGAACGTGCACATGTACATATGGCCCAAGCTACACCATATGGTCACTTAATCTGACACCCTCTTCTGCTGACAATGCCAGGTCCTCTGTAGCCTGTTACAACACTGTGATGACAACTCTTCTCCCTACAGCAAAGTTCTGTAGATATAAAGGGCACCCAGGTGACTATCTGGCACTGAAAGAGCTGAAGGTTCTACAAATTTGAAAGCAGTTGGACATGGCCACATACCTGCTGCTTGAGGCTGTTCACCTCCACCTTCTCCTTCTCTAAGGAGATTTGTAAAGCCTGGACGAGCTGCTTCATCTGGCGATCCTCCTCTTCTTTCCGTTGCAGAACTGCCTGTACCTAGGTTGTAGTGCATAGGGATAGACAGATATCTCAGGAATCCCAACACCTACATAACCTGTGATGAAGCATGGGGCCCCTTATAGCGAGCACACACACCACGGCCACAGTGCCTCACCAGAGAGGGCACTAGTCAGAAGAGGAGAGAGAATCCCACCTCTGGAGAACACTGCTACAAAGGCAGAAATCTGAAATCATAGGAGTATGGTTACTTGGTCACATTCAAGATTGGTGGGTACCACAAAGGCCACAGAAACCAGGCTACAAACACAAATGTAAGAAAGCAAAGTAAGAATGGAGGGATGAGGCCAGGGCAGAATGCACGTCACCAAACTCCCCAGACACTATATGCTCAAAGGCTGGGGGCACTGTGGCCTTGAGTAGCCACTGTGAAGACTTCCCTGAGACACCTAGACACTGCTGCAATTCCCACAGCCACTATGTAACTGCAGCCAAGAACAAGGTTTGCAGCAAGATGCAGCCAGGGCTCCAGGTATCCTGCTCTAAATCCCACGAGGGCTTCAGGTAGTGTCCACCACACACATTACCGTTCACAGCTGAAAACCGCTTTGCCTGACCTCACAGCCCCCTCACAGAACCTGTGAAGCTGCACACTGACTAGGGACTCAGGCCATGGAATAACCAGATTCTCTAAGCCTGTTCCCTTCTCCCTGATAGATGCTGTGCCTCTCCTGGAGGAACTACAATGATCTGATACAGCAGGACACTGAGTGTACGCAGCCCACAGCAGCCCTCATTCCATCCTGGCAGATGAGTGTGAATACCTGGAGATTCAGCTGGACCAAGTCGGCCTCCCTCTTGGCCAGCGCTGTCTCTAAGATGCTGTTGTGTTCCCGCAAAGCAGCATTGGATTGTCCGAGGCCTGTGAGCTTCCCTCTCTCGTGCTCTAACTCAAGAGCCAGCTTCTTATTTGATTCTTCAAGGCGCTTTATCTTCCGTCTGAAACCTCTGGACTCTTGAAGCTGAAACACATCAGAGTAACTGTACAATGACAAG